CGGCTGACCCAGACAGCAACACATGCTGTGCACGTCCGACGGTGTCAAGGAGATTGGTAGACTCGGTAACTGCACAGTACTTAATTAATTGTTTGGCTGGGATGCATGTCTTTTAGAACCGTAAGAAACAGCAAACTGATTTGAAAGCACGCTCTTCATTTTCGTACTTCAAATTTAATACATATTTCACTCTATGTCGAGCGAGTATGAGATGCGACTGCGCTCGTGGGGCCTATACTTAACTCTCCCCCTGTCCCCCTACCCCCAGGTCCTTTCACCTACCCCCCTCCCCCTCCTCCCTTCTTATGCCTCTGGCGCCGAGTCACTGGGCCGTGCCTCAAGGGCCACTAGGACAACGGGCACTAAAGATAACACAGGCCGCTCAGCCGCTCGCAGCCGCACGCGACGCGTCGTCGCGGTGCGTCGCCCGCGGTCGGAGAAAGGGGTGAAGAATAATGAGAGGAAAACCGAAACCCGCGCAAAAATAAGTCGACGTTTCACACTTACACAATAAATTCTTGAGCATGTGAATCGTACTGGACACAATTTATGCACGCACTCAGAAAACTGTGTGATCCGCGCAACATCTCATGAAGTGATAAAAAACTTGTACGTGACTATGCACAAAATTATTCGACTTCTGTTGTACAGAACTATTGTTGCTTACAATTCTGAAAGCCTCATTAAGATTTACTCATTAAGGTCTCGACATAAAGGTTTAGTGTGCAGTTTCCACTTTTTCCCCCTCAAAATATTAAGTATACAAAGCAGCATTTTGCCTTCCTGAAAATTCCTGCTTCATAAAGTATCTACTGCATATTAAGCAGGTGAGTGCACAGTAGTTGCACCGGATCACATTGATATGATGCAGGCGTACAAGCTGGGAGTCCCGCTGCGGGGAGCGCTAGCGCACGGGAGTTAGGCAAACCGGCGGATGGAGCGCTCCCGAGCGCGGCGGGTCTGCCGACGTCACAGGCGCCTATGGGAGCTCCGGTGTCCATTGCACTCTGCACCTTCACTGTTCAACTCTTTCTTCAACTGTAACGAGGAGGGTTATAACGGCTGCTCGCAGAAACCGAACATGAGTGGTGGGCGTGAGCCGAGAGATTGGTTGAGGGTTGAGGTTGAGGCTGAGGCTGTCGTTGAAGGTGGTGGTGCAGGGTGAAGGTGCTGCTCGTAGGTGTAGATCGGGCGTAGGGTTGATGCGGCGGGGTGCGGCGGCCCCACCAAAGCCTGCGGGGCTGCAGAGCGTCAGAGCCGCCACCCTTACAACACCACAGAGTGCATTAGCGCGGGGGCCTTCGCACCGGGCCAAAGGGCGGGCTTGCTGCATGCCGGGAGCCCTCCCCGCTTGCTCCTCCACCTGCCTCCCCTCACCCCCATACCTCCCCCCAACCAACCCTCTCCCGCCCCCATCGTTGCGGAGGCAGTGGTTGTAGCAATAATAGAGGAAGCTGCAACGCTGGCTGCTTGCTTGGCCCGGCTCGTCCTCGCTTAAAGCACTCTGCTCCTCGCTCCACGTGCATGCACGCTGCCTGCAAGCACGGACGGCACTCCTGGAACAGAAGTGGACATAGTGCAACCTCACATATCGCTCTCACTCATACTCCATTGATTTTGTAATTCCAAAAAAAGAACCAAAAAGAGCAAATAACCAATCAAGAAGCAAGGGTTCGATGAACAGGCGGACAGGGACCCTTCCCTGGAATACTTTATGGTAATTCTGTATACATGGCGAACGGGTTTTCTAATTTGTCTCTGCACGGCCACTCGGCCACCGTGCTAAACGACATGACAAAAAGTGTTAAATAGGAGGGGGCGGATCACACAGAAAGCAGGTCCGCCATTCGCCCTAACGAAAGTGACAAGTTCAATCTCTGCAAGCTCTCACACTAACTGGATTTGTTTCTTGCACGAATTTAAGGATTCAAATTTATTGCACACATTTCTGCGCTGATTTGAACACTTTTATGCATTCATTTGTATGGAATTATGCACTTTGGCGTACAAATTTATGTGCGAAATGAAACTTAGGTTTAACTTAGTGCGAACGTTTCCACAAAAACATACAAATGCATTTAGCGTGCTCATGGCGCCTGCTAGGTAGGCAACATCTTGTCTGCAGTGCATGCGTGTGATGCGGGGGTGTCTACCCCACGTCTTGCAGGCGCTGTGCTCCCATGATTTGCAGAATAAATCTGAGAAAAACGGACGTTCTCTCTGGACGATCCCATAGTGCGGAGGCTGATGAAGCAGTGAAACATTTGTCCGAGTAACACAAGAAAGAAAGTCACGGCGGGTAATAACCATACAACATATATCTTTGTTAACCTAGTCGGCCAAGGAAGAGAGGGCCTGACATTCAGTGGTACTTGCCAAATGAAACGAGAGCTCTGGAAATATCATTTTTATGAAGGTGTCCCTATCAGGGTGAGTCCTGCGTGCCAGTCAAATTGGCAGTTGCTAGAGTGGACCTTGCAGGCATACATTTGCTTTTCGTGCCTGCGCTGCAGGCTTGCTCTTCCTTGTGTGCACATAGTCAACTGTTGTGACCCGAGTTTCGCGAATGGGGCGGTCCAGAAAGTTCGGTCCGATTTTCTCAGAATCATTCGACGAATTACAGGAGCTTGGCGCCTGCGAGACTCGGGGTAGGCCAGCCCGCGGTGCACGGATGTACTGCATCGAAGATGTTGCCTACCGACCAGGCGCCATGTGAGCTTGCATAGGCTGAACTTGACAGTTTCGTGTCGGCGAATGAGGGGCATACTCTTTTGACGACCCCTAACGGAGAATTGTGTGCTAATAACCTAATGGACAGAAAAGTGTCAAGATGACATCAATTTGACGTTACTGCGGTCAAAATTTAGCCACCTCGACTCGACTGTCAGAAATGTGACGTCATAAAAACAACATCCTTCGAAGTCCTCACAATGTCATTTCTGACAGTCAGGATGACTAAATTTTGATGTTATCGTAACAAATTTTTGTTCTTTTGCGAAAATTTGGACTCGCAATGGGCGATACGACGTCGTATAGCTGGACAGGGCGAGCGGGCTTGCTTCTCTGCCGCGGCGTGCGAGGCGAGGTCGGCTGTGGCGGTGCAGTGTCGACAGCAATCCAAATTGGCGTCGCTGTCGATGCCGTTGAGAAGGGAGGGGGAGG